CCAGAACTTGATAGAGCTTGTCGCCGCACAACCAAACGTAATCTTGTGGCGAGCTAAACCCCACATCACTGGGCCAGGCCAGTTGTATTGCTCACGGTTGCGTTGTCCCAGGCGAGCCGTCATCACGAGGTGGGAATGCTCCATGGGGTGTGTCTGTGTATTCCTTCGGTCGATTTTGTGACACGGACAGTCAGACTCCGCACACCGGTAACACAAACGAGGAACCAGAGAGCATATGGAACCGCTCAGCTGGCACTTGCCTGTGACACCTTGTGTGTAGTGTGTTTTGGTGTATGTAGTGCAAGTGTGGTGCAAGTTGGTGATTAGGACACATCACTTGTTGTCATCTACTTCTGTTGGTGATTAGGACACATCACTTGTTGTCATCTACTTTTGTTGGTGACTAGGACCTTGCAGTGGCTGGCGTGGACCCACGTAGCTCTCTCTCTGACCCTTGGCCTTCAGAGCTGTCCTACTGTAGTTATTGGGTTAACACTTGATAGGGATGTTTTCCTGAGTGCAGACAACTCAAGGTAATGGATTAGCACATTATCATTTAAATACAAAAATAGGATAGGCCCCTCAGAATTATTTGGGAGCCTTCCTGAGACATGCACATGCATAAATGTAAGGTTTGTGTTAGTCATTTAACATGCAAGAATCATAAACTCATCAGTCCAAAGTAGAGAAATGTTATTGTAATTTAAAGGTGAGCTAGTCCCTGCGGATATCACCCCTTCTCAATGATTCTAAATGTTATATTAATTCACCATTTACCGTTTGATAACATATTAGTTTATCAGAAATATTTTCCTCTTCCATAAAACAGGTTTGAGAAATAAATGTTCCAATATAAAATCAATTACTCAATATAATTGACTCTTCCCTCCCTTTTCTTACATATGTCTCATATGAAATAATAACGTAGGAGTCTATTTAAGCATGGTGTAATCTATTACTCGAGAAGACTCAGTATCACCTGTGTGCAGCTTACAAAAAAATCAATTGTGAGAAACATATATTATGCAGGAACTGTATACCTTTGTTGAAAAACAAAGCATATCTGATTTGGGAGGAAAAGCTTCTTCCCCTTAACATCTGAGTCACTACTGATGGCATAGCATAAATGATAGTGAGTGTCTGAGGGTGTTTTTACTGAGAAATGTCAAACACATTCAAAACCTTACATTTGAAAACAGGTTTGCATTCCTTCTCTTAAAATGACGTTATCATTGGAAACAATAAAAGCTAATTGTTTTGATGTAGAATCTATCAATTGAATCGTTAGAGCAGAACAGAATGGTCGTATTGTAGCCTGAGTACCGTGCAGCCTTTAGTTTCACCAGGTGGAAACATTGTCCATATAATGTGAATACATGTAGAACTAGACATTAAGAGGCTCCTGACATTAGGCCTATTTTAAAAATAGTAGGGGCTTTTAACAGCTTGCCAACCTACAGGCATCCTCTGCATAGCAGTATGAATAGCCTTAAAAAAACAACCCACTCTGCGGTAACGAGAGTCATATTTCTGAACCAAATGCCCTAAGTTAAGCCGTTAGTCCCATCTGACTGACCCAAGGGTTAGTGCTGGTGTGACCGGGAGGCTTCCAGGTGTTCAAAGCTTTCAGTTCATGGCTTGGTGGGGGGAGTGGCCCACGTTAGACAGTATTGTTCAGTCTGAGGAGCGGCATTGTCTCTGGAAGCAGGAAATGGTGTCCATTCTCAGACCAGACCATTAATGTCATTTCATGTAGAGCAGCCATAGCATCTCTGTGACTGCACTCAGAACTGTGTCAGAACTGGGTGATTCTTAGTGAAGCCGTCCAAGGCCATAGACAGAATGGAACCACGTACCAACAAAAGGGACACAAGGTCATCAATGTCTCTCTTTACCATTGGCCTAATTGCACAACAAATTAGTGGGAAAAATGTGGAGCACTAATCCATCATCATGTGAAATGTTGAGTTAATCTAAATAATTACTTATGGGTTGAAATCAAATTAACATTAAAACTAAAGTCAGTCAAAATTGGACTTTGCACGGGTCAGAATCTAAGCAATACACCATTTCCCCAGCTCTGTAATGAAAAGGATAACAAGATTAGGTACTTTACAGGAGTGTTCCACACCCAAACATGCACACTTATCTTATTCTAGTAGAGATTAGAGGACAAGGTCTAATGTCGTGAACAAAATGATCAAGTCAAAGTTATTTTGTTTATTGTTATGTACCTAATTTAATTGAATAATTAATCTTGAATTACTAATAACTTTAAAGAAGGCAACAATTTACAATTTGGATGAAGTGATTACTCATCCAAAGTGTGTGTGTGCTTGTCTGCCCAAGGTTTAAAACATTTGGGACAGCACAGCAGTGAGAATGTTATGAGAACCAATCTGTTGTTTATATTAAACTCTTTATGGTATTTAAAATTGGGCTCGAGTAGAACCCCTGGATTTGGCTTGCAACACAAAGTGATACTGATCTCTGTAGGACTTGGAAGTGTCATGATTCAAAGTGCCTGTGAAAGAGAGGCCCTTGGAAAACAACACCTATTTTGTAACTGTAATTACTTATTTTAAAGAAATTGCAACATTATACTTTTAAAGAATTGCTCAATTAATTTAACACATTTTATTATGCACACAATAAAAACTTCAACAAATATATTGATCCTGGCTTAACCAGCAACCTTTAGTCTGTTGTTCATCAGCTCGGTTTCAGAAAACTTGTCAGTAGTTTAACAACTATTTTAATTTTAGTAATGTCTATAGAGACCAATTGGTTGATACTAGAAATATTTTCAAGCAGTTTAATAAAGAATGGTTAAACTATTTTTAAAACTGTAATTGAACTTCAACTTATATTAATTCTCTGATTCCAGTGGCCAGTTGGAACAGAATAATTAACACAGTTTCCATTTTGCAGCAACAGCGCAAAAGGTTTCAACAACAATTAGTATTATGTCTGAGTCTAGTTCTGTCTTATCTGCTTTGTTTCGGAATGTGTTCAATACATTACGTTTTTATTCATTATTACTATACAATACATAGATTAAGAATAAATGAAACAAATAATACAACATTGACCTAAAACCAGATTTTGCAACCCTGATCTCCTCAGGCAGGTCTCTGAGGGTCTCGGGGCGCAGGACGGGCATAGGGTTTATACAAGGTCACAAAGATATCTTAACATACCAGCAATACCATCTAAGAATGGATTCTTAAAGCAATATAATCTTATTTTCTTCTTACACCTATAGCTCACCCTGAACAGTGGGCTTCTTGTTTACATTTTCCCCTGCACTCAGAGGCAGGACATAAAAACACTTTTTATTTTTCTCAGGTCATTTACTTTTGGTGAGATAATTAAAGTTTAGTTCATTTTACCCTGTCTATGGACTGATTAATTATTAGTTGTTACAAAACATACACAAGACGGCGGGACAAACCAATATAGACCCCCATACAAACAATCAGACAAACAAAACATGAACTCTTAATAAACACCAGCGCGACAGCAAAGCTCTTCAGCTCAATTTAGTCCGGATTTTAGAGATCTTAGAGGGGGTGGGAATTCTCTCCAGTGCGGCGTCTGCTCACGCCTCACCCTTGCATACAAGTGATTTATCGGTGCCTGAAAGCCGTCCAAGAACGATAACTAGCTTATCCTCTTGCGACAACCACTAGGCTATTTGTTTCTAGTGGCGCTGTGCCCCCCCGATCGGAGCCCACAGACTTTTTCCCGCCCTTTCTCTCCAAACAACAGCTCAGTTGACTGTAGTCCGTACGACCAGCCTATATCTACTCGCCATCGAGTTCACCTCAAGGTGAAACACAGTTTGCCTATGCTTGCTTGCCACTACACACCTCTGATCAATTAGCCTATAATTGTATGTATGCACTCCTGACCGCCACCTGCTCCAGAGAACCGTGGCGCATCGGGTGATGCACGCACCTCGTGCTGGCCCGTCTAACCATGAGAAAAGCGGTCCTAAACAACGAGTGCTTTTAGACCGTCCCGTTTGAAGGACGGCGGTGCCGTGAGTTAAAACCTATAGGCAATAAGCTGTGACTTTCTTCCTCTCAGCCTGCACTGCTCCAGCCCCACACACACACGGTGAGGTTTTACACACACACGCAAGGCTGCAGCTGGAGCCGTGTTTTTACAGAGAGGTGATAGCAGCAAATATCTTTGGCTGCTTATTTTCAACTGCTGTGCTTAGCCACTAAGACCCCCAAAATCCGGCGATTTGTCCAATACAAATCTTTTACATTGCTTTCAATTCACACAGAAGCTCCACTTCACTGATGCTCTTTCTTTAAGGTATCTCTAAACATGAGCTGTGTATGCCTGTATGGCACTTCCGTCCCGAGCAGCACACAGAGGAAATAAGCCAGGACTGAGTCCCCAGACACTGATCTCCTGGGTTTATCTATCCCCAAATGTTCATTAACCAAAAGGAAACGCAGCCGATCAGTTTCACAGGTAATTTTAGGATACCGTCAATCACAGATTCTGATAAGGCAATGTCCAAAGTAGATTTGAAAATCACACTTACCACAATCTGAAGATCTGTTGGCATCCTGCCGACAACGCCAATTTGTAATGGAAACTTCTGTGTAGCTATGTAGTGGGAGTCACCGACTCAGGAAGGAGACACGGGAAGAGCAGTAGCTTTGATGTCAAACACATGATGGTTTATTTGGAGTTAACGGCCGGAGGATTCACATCACAAGTCCAAGAGTCAGAGGATCTGACTTCACGGTAGAGTTGCCACGTCAATTCTGGAGAGCCTCTCTCTTGCCAGCCCATCTAACTGGTTTCGCAGAGAGTAAACAACATATTTTGAGGAGATAGCCTAAACAGTGTGGGAACACAGAGCTACTTGCCTCGGACACTTATGACCTCGAAGATTTTACCTTGGAGTCCACAAATACAGAGAAGGAAGTGTCCCAGTGTACCCACAACACAGACCATCTGTATCCCAGTATTGACCGGTCACAGAATGGGAACAATAACATTATTGGCTAAGCCGCCTGTGTCCTTAAAGAAGGTAAACAGACATCAAGGTTTGTCCTGTATGTTACTAATTGGCGTCTTATGATAATTATTTCCACAACAATCACAAATCCTTAGGATTTCACGCAGGGCCTCAGGGTGTGTCCGTCTAGTTCAGAAAATAACTGGTTCCGTAGGTTGACGTTTGTGATTCGGTGAAACTCGGCACAAACCTACAGGCACACACAAATGTATAAAGATCATTAATGGATATGCAACTGTAAAATGATTAGTGATGCAACCTGTTTTGTTGTTTCCGAAAAAATATATTGCAACATGATCATATTCAAAGTATTCATTTAATTTGTATTATTATTTATATTATAAAAATAAATATTGTTTTATAATTAACATTGAACAACAACACTGTTCCATTGTGTGCAAAGTAGGCAGTTTTTGCAAGCAAAATTGGGAAACGGTGTGCAGACTAAGAGACAGATTAAAACTTCTGAGAGCGTCTGTGTTTTACCTGTGATTCCATCCGGAGGGCCAGCCATTTCTCTAAAAAGTCCCCGACCAAGGGATTTTCCTGAACGATCTCCTGGCAACGAAGGGCAAAAGTCGTCTGCATGAGCTTTTCTATCAAGATGAGGTTCTTCTCACTTTTTTCAACTTCCTGCAATGATAAATGATTGAAATGTAAAAAATGAAAGAGTCATAGACAAATGGCAAAGGGTTAACTATTGAGTACTGGCTATGCTTCAAACAATAGTGCCTAAATAACTGAGCCCGGGTGTCTGACGAGACAGCACACACTTTGCACTTCCATGCCATTGAACCATTTCAACCATGCAACTTCAACAAAGCATGATGATCGGATCTGTAGAAAGGCCAGTTCTGTTCAAGTTACCTTGAATCTTGAGTCTCACTGCTATGCACCAGCTTCACCCTACGACAAAAAGAAATGTGCAGAGTTTTAATACAAGTTTGCAGTTTTCATTAGCTTACTGTCACTAGCAAACATGCCTGTGTGTAAGCCTCAACGTAATTGTGGAAAACAGCTCTAGCTAGCTACTAGCTTAATTCAGGAATAACATCACATTTACCAGATAATAGCGGATAACATTAAGCACCAGCAACACACTTATAAACAGTGGGGCTGCCGTTGACTGATATGAGTTACTAGCTAAAGTTAACATGCTGCTGCTCTGACGTTAACGTCCTTACACTCCATTGAACCATTTCAACCATGAAACTTCAACAAAGCATGATGATCGGATTACTGTAGAAAGGCCAGTTCTGTTTAATGTTCTGAATACCTAATTAATTAAATAAAGCTACTGGAAAAAAGTTCTAAAATAATTTAACACAGTATCTATGGGTTAGCAATAAGTTACCTTGAATATTGTGGAGTCTCACTGCTATGCACCAGCTTCACCCTACGGCAAAAATAAATGTGCAGAGTTTTAATACAAGCTTGCCGTTTTCATTAGCTTACTGTCACTAGCATCAACGTAATTGTGCAAAACAGCTCTAGCTAGCTACTAGCTTAATTTAAGAATATTCAGGAATTACAGCACATTTACCAGATAATAGCGTTAATAAGCACCAGTAAGAAACACACTTTTAAACAGTAGGGCTGCCGTTGACTAATAGGAGTTTCTAGCTAAAGTTAACATGCTGCTGCTCTAACGTTAACGTCCTTACAGTACTTAACCGGCAGTCCGAAATTAAAAAAATAGCGCGAAGCAGCCGGTGTTACCGTTTAACTGGTTACACCGGGGAACTCGTTACGTTACGTTAACGGTAGGAATGGGGCGTGTAGTTTGAGGAGCCATTGTCGAATAACCAGGAAATACACATTTCGATCGCTTCTTTTGTTGTTTACATTTATCTTTTGGTATATTTGGCTCCATAGGAACACTTTGATGCACATTCAGTACCAGTGTGTGAGGTTGTGGTTGCGATGCCGATATCCGGACGCGTACAGCGAGGACTACAAAATGACAATGAGGTGACTGGGGATGTCTGTTCAAAACATTGCAAACGTGAATAAATCATTTCAAATATGTATTTGTTTACGACTTTCATTTGTACATCGTTGTTAATGTGATGTTTAGTAGCTTTGATAGCTGTCCATACCTCCAGACAGCCTAAAAGTAAGACACAAGTTGTTTACTCACAGCCCGAATGCAGCATCGAGATCCGTGGCCAGCTGTGATCCTCTCCGATTAACTTGTGACAGGACTTCTTTAGCTATTCTCCAGCGAGCAAGGTTTTTATTAAATACCTCCATCCCTCTCATCACAACAAGACTCTACACTGTGCAGAAAAAAAACAACATACATGAAAATAACCTTGCTGGATAGCTTAGAATGAAACAAACAAACTATCTTCCATGGCTGATACTGATGTCACAGTAACGGCTAAACCACAGACAAGTCCAGCGGGGGGGGCACAAGTTGAATCCATATAATGAAATTGTTATTTTATATATATATATGTATATACATACATGCTATATATATGTATATATATTTCTATCCTACATTGTCTAGGCTATAGGCTATAAACCGGCGGAAGTGTCACAACTTTCTTGGTTTGTGATTATAGAGAGAGAGATAGCGATAGAGACATAGATAGAGATACTGTAGAGATAGACATAGAGAAAGATCGGCTGTGTGTGTGTGCGTGTGTGTGAGAATATGTTATGTTAGGGCTAACCAAGCGGGGATGGATTCAGGAGTTGTTAAACAACTGATGGATTTTATGATCCACGATAGTTATGCTGATGGCTTGAAAAAAAGAAAATTGTTGACAATTATCCTTTATTATCTTGTATGAATATATCTGGTATATTGCTCATTTTCCATAAAAGAAAAACATTTATTTGAGTTTGATGCATACAAATACTGTAGATGATGATTGTTGAAAATGCACTTTTACCATAAAACGCCAGCACGACCAGTTGGTTGAGGCTCATAAAAACAAAACTGTGTAGACAGTAAAAAAAAAAGTAGTTTGTGTCCCATTTGATAAAAAAATGCAAACAAATACTTTTCCCATAGATTTTTTTCTTGGTCTGCCAATTAAAGGGTTAAGCCTATATGTTTAAGCAATTATGTCTGCCTTCCCCGTCTTGCACCATTAGGACCCACTGATATAAAATGCTTAACTGCCTAAGATGCAACTATGCACTTTTTGGTGGGCTAAGCGCAAGCTTCACATATTTTTGGCTACATTTAAAGTGCCAAATGTAAGTTTAGATATTATGCAATGCAACGTTTTTCTTGGCCTACATCAGTGTTATAGAAGGAAAGACAACAGTGATAGTTATGTTTCAGAATAACATTTATTGGAAATTGTTGGAAAAATATCACCTTTCACCAGTTTGAGCTTCAACCTCAGGATCCATGTGTCTGTGATCCTCTCCAGAATGGAAGTAGTCATCACATACAGAGCATCAACTAGTTCCTGAGCAGTGTCCTTCACATGCTGATATCCAAGAGAGGGAGTTACACAGTCACAAGATGGAGGAATAGAAAGCAGTATTCAATGTTTACTTCAGATTAGCTCCACGTCAGAAATGAGCATGCTTGATGGCAAGCTATCCAGCAAGGTTATTTTCATTTATGTTGTTTTTTTTCTGCACAGTGTAGAGTCTTGTTGTGATGAGAGGGATGGAGGTATTTAATAAAAACCTTGCTCGCTGGAGAATAGCTAAATAAGTCCTGTCACAAGTTAATCGGAGAGGATCACAGCTGGCCACGGATCTCGATGCTGCATTCGGGCTGTGAGTAAACAACTTGTGTCTTATTTTTAGGCTGTCTGGAGGTATGGACAGCTATCAAAGCTACTAAACATCACATTAACAACGATGTACAAATGAAAGTCGGAGACAAATACATATTTAAAATGATTTATTCACGTTTGCAATGTTTTGAACAGACATCCCCAGTCACCTCATTGTCATTTTGTAGTCCTCGCTGTACGCGTCTGGATATCGGCATCGCAACCACAACCTCACACACTGGTACTGAATGTGCATCAAAGTGTTCCTATGGAGCCAAATATACCAAAAGATAAATGTAAACAACAAAAGAAGCGATCGAAATGTGTATTTCCTGGTTATTCGACAATGGCTCCTCAAAGTACACGCCCCATTCCTACCGTTAACGTAACGTAACGAGTTCCCCGGTGTAACCAGTTAAACGGTAACACCGGTAACTGCGGCGCTCAGCACGTAACTCTGAATTAAACAATGGGGTCTAACGATCACATATAATCTTCGGGTGGTATATCCTTACAATATTATAACAAGAAAAACAATTTTAACGACTTATTTAGGTACTTACAAGTTAAACCATGCGTGGAATCCCTTCGCTTGCAAGAGCCGCCATGTTGGATGGATTTTTCTCGATTCGTCGCAACGTAATGACGTCAGACGCTGCGTGACTGTTCACTCAGAAGTTTTAATTCAAATTTGAATATTCACTCATAAACTATGATTCACATAAAATTAAACAGCACTTTTCGTTAAAAGAACGTATAAGTTTATTGTTCGGTTGACTTGGTATTTGGTTTTGATTGCAGTACCCATAATACTTATGAGTTAGTAGTACTGTTGGGGTTTACAGTGCATGCAGTGGCAAAAGTGCGCTTCTTTCCTGAAAACAATCTCCCTGGATAACGATCCAGCTTCACCTGCTTGGGTTTATTAACCCCAAGATCATCGCAAACTCAGTCCCGGGGTTTGCCGAGGTCAAGCTTGTTGTGACATTAAGGCGTGCTGCTGCAACGGCAGGTGCAGCACCATCGGCTGCAGTTCTTTCATCGCTATTTCGTTTGAATAAATCCTTAGACCTTTTAAGCCAATTTTTTATGTCCATTTTGTCATTCAAACATAAATGGGAGTCTACAGAATGCACAATAAACAAATCCAGAATAGGCGGCAGAGTGTGACGCTGTTATTGGTCTAAATGGGACGAATCACAAATCACAACAGACACATGCATTTATTTGACGTAGCCTGCGATTTGTTTTGTTTGTTCTGACATCACATACATCGTAGCATAAAAGTTCACAGTTTATTTATAATTAAAAAAATAAAATATATATTTTTTTTAATTTTTAGAAATAATAAAAAACGTGTTTATTGGGGGAGGGCAGGAATGTCAAATGGGAGGGCCTGGCCTGGCCCTCCCACGGCGCCGGGCATGTGATTTGTGATTCGTCCCATTTAGACCAATCACAGCGTCACACTCTGCCGCCTATTCTGGATTTGTTTATTGTGCATTCTGTAGACTCCCATTTCTGTTTGAATTACAAAATGGACATAAACATTTGGCTTAAAAGGTCTAAGGATTAAAACGAAATAGCGATGAAAGAACTGCAGCCGATGGTGCTGCACCTGCCGTTGCAGCAGCACGCCTTAATGTCACAACAAGCTTGACCTCGGCAAACCCCGGGACTGAGTTAGCGATGATCTTGGGGTTAATAAACCCAAGCAGGTGAAGCTGGATCGTTATTCAGGGAGATTGTTTTCAGGAAAGAAGCGCACTTTGGCCACTGCATGGTACAACAACAGACCGGCTTGAATATTCGTTAAAAGCAGACGCAGCCTTTTGTTTCCCCTTAGACAGTTTAAAGTAAATACGTCTTCATCTGATGCGGCTTTTACTGTCAAAGGTTTTTGCGACTAGAAACACGCATTACAGACTGATAAAGGACTGCTAATGCATGCTGCATCAAAAGAACACATTTCATGTGAGAGTTTGTGGAGAGAGAGACAGATACGAGAGGAAACAAATACATAAATTAGAACTTTGGTGCAGATCAGCTGGCACGGAGCCGTTATTACCTGTCAGCTGTCGTTGATATTATAGCTTTTTTAGCTGTCAACCAACTCCCTCTCAGAGGTGACTCGATTCACTCCACAGCATGTCCGAGTGCAGTGCATAGGAACATAAACCATGTCCAAGGCGGGCTAAACAGTTAATCGTCTCCGTCTCTACTATTTCTCTCCGAGTGCAACGATGAGGAAGCTGCCATCCTTAACCAGTGTGCCTTGCTCGTGATTTACCAGTGTCTGTGCTGCCAAGCACACAATGTTTCAAAGTGGTTTCTATGTTGCCCTTTATTTGTGTATGTTTGCGATAAGTGTGCGTCTTTGCGCAATGCTGTTGGCCTTGCTGTTTGATATATATATTGTGCCGCAGGCCCGCAGCACGTGACGGTTTTGTGTGCCCTCCCATGAAAATCATATGCCCTCCCTTTAGATTTGTTCTGGCGCCGGGTCTGGTATATGATAAAGTTTGAATCATCTTGACCATAGCTGGCTTCTAACCTTTGTCATGGCAATGCAGTGGATTATTGCATCTTTAGAATCCTAATTGCAACAGGATGCCAATTCAGCTATTAATCATTTCTCACAGCGGTTCTTCTTTTTGTGCCTTTA